TCGTTTGTCAAATTGTCTGCATGGCAAGGTGTCTGCATGTTGGAGTATCACTGTACTAAAAAACACAAAATTCATCTTTTTAATGTATCTGAGTAATTTTACCATGAAACTCATACTGAACTTTTGTGAGCATAAATGGTTACATTTTGTCAAGAGATATCACAGTTTAGAAAAATAAAAAATTCTTCATTTATTCTAGAAAAGTTGGGAAAGTGTCCATATGTTGAGACAAAGTCTGGATGTTGGAGCAGATTTGTGTTTTGTTATAAGTGTCCCTACATCAAGCCTACATCATATTTCCATATGTTGGTGTCCTCATCACTGTACTGTATTGTAAATTGCCTGAAAATATGTATTCCAGCCATATACTGAAACATAAGGATTCCTTTCAACCCTGGAGCAGAAAAGTCAGGACAGCTTTGTTTAATTGATTTTCAAAAAGTAAAAAAACTTCCCAGCAAGAATGTGAATAAAATTTTTCTTCAACTGATCAAGAGGCAGAAAAAAACAGTAAACAAGAAAGACACGCAGGATTTTCTCATATTGTCATGAGAAGTACTGTAGTCTGAAAACAGAAAAAAAAACGAGCACAGATATTCCTCTGATATGCATGCAGTTTTTTGAGAAAAAGGCAAAAAAGTGAAGTACAAATTTAGCCTGTTTTGGATTATGAATTGGAATGAAGTGAAAACAAAACATTGTTCGGGTCATTCTCTGTAAAAATTACTCCACTTTTTCACAAGTTGTCGAAACTTTGAACAATTATAATGTAAAATTTGTTAGAATTCATTCTGAAATTTCCGTATTTTGCGACTATGTCCGGAACTCCTCCGGATATCGGTGAAAATTTTGGGTTCCAACGTGTCCGAAACTGGAATCGTCCATCGTCCTCATGTCGGGGCTCCACTCTAATTACATTCGTATCGTAGTAGTTGCTTATATCTGATTATTTCGTTGGTTCTCCATTTCAGGTTGAACCCTTTCCCTTTACTTGAACCGAAAATGAATTTGCGGAATAATATGAGGAATACTTTTTGCGGTGAGTTGTGAGTGACGAAAAGTATGTGTGAACGGTAGTATGCATTAAAAAACTAATTTGTTTCATAAATCACAATTTATATATGATGGGGTGATCATATTTCAAGTTGCTTTATCGTCTCAACAAATAAATATGACGACGAGCACAATACATTCCTTGGAACCCCAAAATTGTTTTGAAGAATTGGCACAATCGCTTTTTATAGATATCACACTTCATCTTGAATTATTCGAGGCTAGCTTTTCAGTCATGCCTCATTGTTTATAATGGGAAGGACGTTTGTAAAATATTTCTGTGATAGCTTGCAATCCTCGATCATAAGTTTCATCAATTGGAATAAAATTAACTAACTCGGGGAATACAACATGAAAATTACAGAAATTTTTACAAGAATTTCCGCATTTATTGCTGCATTTGATTGCATTGATCATCTAAGTGCAGTACTTGAATAATTGCTTGAAGAATATCAAATTATTTCGAAACAAGAAGGTTATTGGACAACCATTCACATCATACTCATCTGAAAAGATAATTTAATCGCCTAATCACTCCTAGGAGAAATCAAATCATTAATAAGATATAAGTGCAGTGCCTCTCACAGTAAAAATGAAGTGAAAGTATTTTGTATTCTAAAGGAAATTTGATTTTGCTCAGTAAAGAGAGTTTCCAGTTGGGGTATTGGGCTATTTTTGGGTAGGTTAATCACTTGAAATTATTTCGTTGCAAAATTATTATATTTTTTATCGTTCGTACAGGGAAAAGTCCTATACAATCCCTTATTGTGTGAGCAAAAAATGATTTGCATACGTTTTTCTGGGGTATCTGGAAAAGGGGATCTAATTTATGCCCAATTTAATTATCGCATTGGATTGGAAATTTGAATGAATAATGATGATGCAGTTTATTGATCCAACATGTTTTTTACGCCCTGGAGGTTTAAATTGTAAATTATTGGGCTTGATTATCTTTGCCAGAAGGGATGAAATGGAAGTTATAATAATTAAGTGGGTTTTACTTATGTCCAACTGAACATTACATAAATTCTTCTAATATTTTTGCGACAGTTTTCGTCATCCTCTTCGGAAGCTTATTGGTTGTTTCTCTGGCTGAAAACAACGACGATCCTCGACAACAACTGGACCGTTCATCGTCATCGCGGTCTTTTCCAACTTCGTACGGATCAGTGGGAGAGGCATCAGTAATCAGATCATTGAGAAGACGAAGAGTCGCAGACTTGTTGAAACAGTCGGCTTCTGTACGTCGGTCTTCGCTGCAACAATTCAAGCCCAGACTCGTGCGAAGGCAGCATTTCGTCGTTAGCGGAAGTCGGCAAGAACCGGAAACTGCTGCTGCTCATGTAGAAACAACTACGAGCACATTGGCTTTGCGAAGAGTCAGAGTCGTTGCTAGGAATCGAAATGAAGAGGCATTTGAAAGAAGAAGCGAGAGGAAGGTTTTCGAGAACGGCATCGACTCGCCGCAACAAGCGCAACGATTTGATTCCGAGCCTCAGGTGCCAGTAGACACCGAGCGTCCTCTAGTCAGTAAGGAGTAAACTTTATTCCACGGCTTTTTGCTTTTGTACTTGTAGACGTCAGGTGATGCTCCGTCGTGGGAAAACTTTCCAAGTACTGTACTGTACAGTATTCCAGTACACAGTAATTATCTATTTTTTCCACGAGAGAGTTGAACAATGATGGGCAAAAATGTGATACAAATTTTAAGACGGCGCCAAATAAAAAAAAATTTGTAATATGCAGGTTTTGAGTTGGAGAAACAAGAATTCACCTTGGGAGAAGAATTTAAGGAAGTTGGGGACATGGGATGGATTACATTGCTTTTTAAATTAGTTGACAGGATTCTGAACTTGGAGGCAAGGTTTCATTTGCCTGATTAGTCTTTCACTCCATTTCAAAACACATCATGACTTACATTTTCTTAAACATTTCTTTCCTGCGTGCCAATAATAGCCAAAAACCTCCCAGAAAATTTGAGTTACAACAGGGAAAGCCAATGAAAAAGCTGGGTAGGTTTTTAATGCAATGTTTCTGAGGGAATTCAGACAGAGACTTGAAAACAATTCAACCGATAAATGTATTACAATTACAATTATTTGAGTTATTGATGTTCACCTGTATAGTTGAAATTACAGTACAGGTGGTACCTTGCAATTCAACCCTGATCTGTTGCTGAACTATGCTCAAATTACAAGGCAAGCAGTGCAATTGCAAGACAACTTCAAATGACATGTTTTCTATAAGTCATTTGATGATACTTTCATGTCTCTCCACAGGTCAAATTGCAAGGCAAAAGTTGAATTCATAGTTGACCTCCCAGCAAATTTGACTGTCAAATTGCTGGATGGTTGACTTGCAGGAGATGGAATTTCAGTTCAAAATGTATACAATATATTCTCTCTATTCTCATTATGTGTACATTTCAATGCTTGAGGTAATCTAGTTAATATTTGACTGCCATGTGAGTATCGCGATTGTGTTGTGATCTTTGCATTCAATTTTTTTCCTTTTCTCAAAGGGCCTCAGTTTTTAGTGCCAAGAGCATTCATCCAGCGTTTGTTTGGAGGAGGTTCACCAGGTGAAGATTTTCCAAATCTCACTGTTTTGCCGAGCAGAATATCATTTTCATGCAAGGACAGATTGGCGGGATTTTATTCTGATCCGTCTTACGGTTGCCAGGTGAGATTATTTAATTTTACTAATTTGAAGTGGAAAATGTGGTGGCGAAAATATTTTTAAAATTAAAAACCCGTTTTTCATAGAAAATTTACGGAGTAGTTGATCGATAAACTGGTTGAAACTTCCATGGAAATGATTAATAATGTGTGGAAACAAGTTCAGGGAATCGTGTTTATGAATCATTATACCGTAATTAATGATGAATCCACGAAAACTTGTACCTGTAAGTCAGTTCATCAGATTAATGATAATCAGGCATTTCTTTACTTCGAATTACAGCGATAAAAATATTCGAGAGAAATCGTTTCAAATTTCCCTGTATGGTCAAATAATCCATTGCTGTCGGAAATTTTTCAATTTCAAATAAGTCAAATACAATCAGTTGAGCACCAAAATAGAATTCATAAGGGTAGAATAATAATTTCAGATCCTGTTACTGTATATATTCAAACGAAAGAATGAGCAAAAATATTTAGGAAAAAGTCTCGTTATGAACATTCGAAAATGGATTTCATTTGAAGGAATCCCGTCCCTTGAAATTAACCAGGAATATATTCTGGAGATTTAAAAAAATATTGTGCAAGTCTTTGTCAAATCCCTGATGAAGGCCGTTTGAAAATGGCTCTGAATATTCAGGAAATGGTGATTTTTTTCTTTTGTGCCAAAAGAAGGATACATAAATTTGTCGTTACAGCATCAAAAAGTTCCATTTTCTCCCAAATTCATTCAGAATTCAACAATTTTTTAAAGTTATAACAAAAATCTTTACAAATATTATTCCAAGTTTTCTGCTAATCTCTCAGAACTGTTTCCATTTAAATGCAGCCAATAAAACAAAAAAATTGGAAATGAGGCAACAATAAACGAATGAAGCATGTCTTGAATTCTGTATTGTTTTTTTTGCAGGTGTACCACAATTGCCTGCCTGATGGTCGCCTGTACAGCCACATGTGTGGTGTGGGTACCATTTTCAACCAGAAGGCGCTCGTTTGCGACCATTGGTTCAACTACGACTGCGCCTCTGCAGAAACCGATTATGCATCCAACAGAGTCCTTTACGATGCCAACGGAAATTTCATCTTTTGAAGAAAAAAAAACAATTGGAAGAAAGGGAACCGACGAAAAACCAAGACGGAAGAAACTTGACGCATTGCAAAAAAGAAACCAAGTCCCTTTTGATTTCAAAAAACGAGCTTAAAGTGGCGTACATTTTCTATATATAATGTGAGGGAAAAGACAAAGAGTTACCGAAAAATAAAACCACGTTTGTTTTTTGCGCAAAATTTTTCTCCTGTTCGCATTCATTTTCTCTCGGGGAAGAAAAAAAATCTTCCATAGCAGAAACATGCAATCAGCATCATCAGCACACGCACACACGCAAAATAAGAACTACTTTATGGCATCTTTTGTCTCAAAAAACTTTCACATCAATGACTTTTTGTTTCTTCTTCGTCTAAAAAAAAGAAGAAGAACAATCTTATGCATAATGCATATAAATAAAATTTATGAAAACAAACTCCACGAAGATTCAAAATTATAACTTCTTCGAACGTAAATCATAAAATCCCTCGAGAAAACAATTTTTTTTTTGTTCGGCATCATTAAAGAGGCTAATTCTGTATAGGCCTCGGAATGATATTCACCAACCTTCTTTTTTCTTCACAGTATTCTTTTCCGTTTTATTTTTTTGTGTGTTTGGAAATAATTCAAGTCAGATCAAATTTAAATCGACAGGGAACCGATCGAATCACCAGCGCAAGAATTTCGAACGCCGAACGTTGCTCAAATGCGACACCTTCAAAAACGCAGGTATAATTTTTCTTCTTTTTCTTCCCTCGCTTTCGTGGGACACACAAAAAGCTCTGGAACCGATCACCGAATTTTGTTTTGTTTTTTTTCTGTGGGGTTTTCTCGTCTTTTCTTTTCGCTGTAGAAACAAAAACTTTTTGCTTCAAGCTTGCGATACCATCAGCACCCGACTCGAAGCGCCCTGAGGCTGTTCTTCAACAGCATGAAACCTGGAGAACCGTCTCCTGATGCTAGAATTTAAAGGTCTGCTGGGCGCAATGTCCGCAGTTTCCTCCGCTGAAGAACGCCTCGCAAACTGTCGCGAAAACGCAGCAGAGGGGGCTTTTGAGAAGCCCCTCGTGAAATTGGGCAATCGCAGAGGCATTGAAGCCAATTCAGATTCCTTCACGAACAGGGCTTCAGCGCTGGAAGTAGCCATCGCTGGTGGTGGCGGTGGTCTGTTGACGAATGCCGAATCGACGCGCGAGCGACTTTGGAGCACGCGCGACACCTGTCGCTCTTGCGGTAAAGCGGGTGGTTGAGGTTCTTGCGCCGCTGGCTCAAAGGTGTCGCCTACTGCGCGCGCGAGTGAGTCTAGGTCGAATGCGACGATGGGGCGCTGGGTCGCGGTTCGAAAGCCACCGAACTGGAAGTCTGAGCCTCGGGGTCGGATTCGAACTTCCGGTTGCGACGGTGGTGGTGATGCTGGACGAGAATGCCTGCCTTCTGGGATCACGATGGGTTCTGGGATTTCTTCCTCTTCAATAATAAGTGGTTCATCTGGGATGAAACTTTCTTCTTGCTCTTGCGGTTGTGGTTCTTCTTCTACTGGGGGATTGTTTGGGTTGATGCGTTCGAGTCGGTGTCGGACGAGTCCACGTTGGCGGGATCTCCGCGTCGTCGTTGTCGCGGGCTCTTGAGTCGTCGTCGTCGTTGTTGTTGTTGTTGTTCTTGCTGGAATTGTGGTTTCGGGTTCGATCGTGTCCCTGGCAAGAGCTGGGCCAGGGCCAGAAATGTCGGAACTGCCGGATATGTCGTTGATTTGTGGAGGTCTGTTATTGCGACCCCGTAGATTCCCACCGCGCTGTCGGAACCGCAGCGGCCTCCGTTCGTTGGTCACGAAGGTCTGCTGCTGAACTGGCTGCGACACCTGTGAAAAATTTGCGAAAACAAATCAGAATCAGTGTGGGAAATCTTACCATTGAAGGCGCTCTCCGTAAGTGACTACAGTACAGTACTTGTTTGTTCGTGCTGTTGGTCAGTAGGAAATGAATCAATCGTGTCAGGACTTCAAAGATATAATTTTAAAATTTTCTACTGTATGATAAGCTTGTTTGATCGCAGCGGCGTTCGATGATCATGAAACAGCATCGGTTTGAGCGGTTGCAGGAGCTAAATTGCATTCAAGTAATGTACAGTATGCCTTATACTGACACAGTTGAATGCCCATCAGAATAACAATTCATCATGATGATCTGTTCCTTATTCAATAACCGTCAATATATCACAAATAAGTCATACACTGAACTTTATATTTTCTCTTTTCAAAGCGTATACACAGTACTGTAAACGTGCTCTTGCTTATTGCTTTCAAGCATTGTACAGCTGTGCAGTCAAATCTTATTTGTTACCACAAAAATACAGTAAGTTTTTTGTAATACACAGTATTTTTAAAAATCCGTGAAACAAACATTTTCTCAAATATTGAAAAAAAAGGCCATTAAAATCATTCTCGAGACCACCTCATTACAAAATACCTCTCAATTCCAGTAGAACAATTTTTTTTTAAGATTGTTACATAATATATTCTTCAGGTAGATAATATATTCCCTCACCAATTACGACAGGTAGTCTGAAATTTCCAATCCCAAATGTGGCCGAGTGGACGACTGCTGGTACTCATTTTCAACATGAATGGATGCTTTAATTGTAATGAAAAACATGCCTCCACGTAATTGGTTACACACATCATCCTCCCAGCAGCAGAAGGATGACATTGGTGCAAATCAAAGAATGCATAGCTGAAGCTGATTTTTCAATTTTCGCAGAAGATCACTCAGCTTTTCACATAATCATAAAATATCTGAGAATGCATGAAAATCAAGGTTGACTTGATTATGGGCAGGTCTGCTGTAAACATTTTTTTCAAATCAGTAATTTTGAAAATCTCTTCATACCAAATTATTAGCATTACAATTTTTCTAAAGTCCTTATAAAAGTTGGTTGCAGCAACATTCTGCCGCACTGTATATATGACTTCGAATTATAAGTTGAAAAACTTCGGACAGAAGTGCTAAGGATGAATATAATAGAATTTGAGAAGTATGCGAGTTTACGACAGCGCATACAGTAGTACCTCAAGAGACCAAAAGCATGTTTCCGTCCGGGTTCGAACCGGAGACCTTCCGCGTGTTAGGCGGATGTGATAACCAACTACACCACGGAAACCACGTTGTAAGTGAGCGTTAAATTTGAAACCTTTAAACTTCAATATCAGCAAAGCTCAACACGCAGTACAGAGAGAACAGGATTAAATTTTGTGCAGCACAAAATTCTCACCTGGCGTTGATTACTTCTGATGGGTTCAAGCGCCGGCGGTGGAAGGGTCTCCTCCTCGACTACGTTCTGCGTCGTTCCCCTGGAGTCTGCTTTCCGCAAAATCCATCGAAGGAAAAAATTCATGAGTTGAAAACAAAGCAGAAATGAGCGAGAATGAAAAATCGAATGGATTACTTAAGCCACAGCAAGAAAGCAGAAGCAACACAAGTAGAAAGCTGTGATCCCATATAGTCTGAAAGCATAAACACATCATCGTCGAACGTGCGCTCATACACTTGATCAAATAAAAAAATAAAAACAGAACAATTATTGGTCCTTTCATCATGAGAATGAGTCTGAGCAGCTGAATTTGACACGGTGTAAACATCAGTCATGAAAGCGTACTTCAATCTTCTCTTACTGAAATTGAAAAAAAATTGCAGTAAGACAATCTGCGAACACAATTCTTGAAATTTTTCATAGAAGAAGGGAACTTTCTCATGGGTCAGGAGTCTCAGGACTCAGGAGACATGACAAGGAATACTTGCTTGGATTCTGATATTTTTGATTTGCCATTGCTATATTATACTTTTCTCTACGCTGCACGTTTGATAAATGCAATCAAGGGTGTGCTCCCATTAAAAGTATTGCACAATATGTGATTTTGAATGGAATTGCGTTCCAACGTTTTTTTGATTGTGAAACTTTTGGAAGCGTTTTCACTGCATTTCCAATTAAAATCTGACTTACATTGGGTTGCAGCGAAACTGAAATTATGAATATCAAAATAAAGTATAATGTGTCATTTTGTGTGTCAGGTCAAATTGAACTGCTGCTTCAATAGGAATAAAACAATAAATCTAAAAATTAAAATAAGTGCTAATATTGTATAAACTAGGTTTCATCATCATAGTCAAGCATATTTTGTCACCGATGACATGGAATATAGCCACTAAAATAATAATTAATACAATCTGATCAGTTGTCACTCTCATTTGGATCATTATACCAGTTCTAATCTCCATCAGACAGATAGGCAAATAATGCTTTGCTTCTTCAAAAAAGTACAAGGCACACACTAATTGTGATTTCAAAATTGTCTGGTTGCTTCAATTTGAACATGAGACCAGTAATTAAATCAAAATCAGAACATGTCTTCACTTTGGCAAATACAATAGTGGAAAATTTTTTGTTTCCCATTGGTCATGTTCCATGGAATTTTCTCAATTGGAAACATTTTATGTACAGTAGCCAAAAGGGGTTTAATCCAACATTTTGCTTATGGCATGGTTTTATTGTTGCTTTTCAATTCTCTGAATTTAAAAAGAATCTACAGTTTGATACTCACACAAGTAACGCATGCATCTTTCTTTTTTCTTCAAAAAATTCAATCCAGAGAAGGACTGTCCAATTGGTAGAAAGATATTATTTTTTGAATTAAAGGTAAACTCATGAAACCAATGTAAGTCATTGCAGAGAAGAGAAACAAAGAATTGCTTTTTTCCGTCACAGTTGATTATGTTATATAAATCCATTAGAAGTTACCTTTTTTTTACAAGTCATTAATTTTAAAGTTTTTAGCCTACAAAAATTGGGGCATGGGTCCTACCATTCCTTATTGTGAGGCCAAGTTAGGATATTTTTTCCAAATGTCCTCATGAGGGCAGCAATTTAACAAAATTATTTCTTTTGTACCAAAAGCAGGAAAATGCCCATTAATTTTTTATAATCCTGCAGAAAATTTTATCTCAAAAATAAAAATAAAGTTCTCCATAAGTTCTCCGTAAGTGCATGAGGTTTTTCATGCATTCCCAGCATAAGATTAACATTGGGGATTTCTTGGGGCAATGGGATTTTCTGCACCCAGATTTTTCCCAACTTTGACCTTGGCAACCTGGAGGCACTTCAGTGACCTTTTGTAAAAACTAAAATGCCCCTTTGCCCCCAAAAAGTCCCAACTTTGCTACAGGACAGCCAGGAACCCTCCATTGTCCAAGGGTTATGCAGGGACACCCTTTATCTTGGCAAAATTCACTCTCAAAAATTGATATTTCTGTCTTACCTGAGGAGTTGAGCATGTATATGGTACTGAAGCAAATAGGGTATATTTAATTGCAAATTTTACAATCAAGTGTTGCTTCATTCAGCGAAATATTTTTTCCAGAGTCCAAATCAAATTATAAAAAAGTCAGAAGCCTAATTACAGTACCATCACCACTTTCAGCCAGACGTTGCCCTAATAAATCGCAAAAAAACACTTCCAAGAAAGAAAACGGATAGAAAGCCAGAGTTTCCGTCATCATCTTCTTTGGTATACTTAGATGTCACCTCATCACCGTCTGTGTCGTCGCTGTCACCCACACACACGTCATGTACGTCTCTGTGGTTCTTTTTCTTCTTTCGTTTCTGTCTTTCTTCCTCTGTCCATTATGACCCCACCCCATTACATTTGCCCGCATCACCTCAACACGTGGACGACAGACGAAACACGAACACACAGAGAAGAGCAATGGTTTCGGGAATAAGAATGCGTTTTACCGACCCCTTACCGGCCGCTATCCTCGTCCCCGGCTTCTCCACAACCCCGCTGTTTTCCTTGTTGTTGTTGTTGTTGGACTCTCCAGTGGTGTCGTAGTAGTAGTAGTCGTAATAGTCAGCCTGTTGCTGTTGCTGTTGGGGTTGCCTTTGTTGCGACTGTTGTTGAAGACGTGGAGGTAGAGGTTCCTCCGCTTGAGGCTGTTGGATGACCTCGTCGCGACCTTGGATTTGGTCGAATTTTTCCTTCTCGCTGACGGGAACTGGGGGGCGGATTTTCGGCGCTGCCCGAGGGCGAGAAAACACAGCTAAACGGGCGCCGGGGTCGAGTGGCGCCTGTTCTTCTGGAGGGGCGGCGGCGACTCGTCGTGTCGGAGGGCGCCGTTGACGTCGTCCCCCGACTGCAGCTGATTGCGGTGGTGCTGCTGCTGGCGCCTCTGAAAATTGGAGGGAAAAAACATTATTCCAAAAAAACTTAATGGAAAAGACATACTAAAAAAAACCACACACCCACAAGCCAGGGAGTAAAAAGAATTATACAGGTGGACTCTACAACGAAATTCAATGGACCATAAAAAAATTCGTTATAGAGTTTTTTATACCCCTATAACATGCGGAGAGAACCTTATGCTTATGGGACCACACAAAAATTGTTGTACAGAGAAAATTGTTCTAGAGTCCACCTGTGTTACTAAATTTTTTGAGTTGAAATTTGGAAGCATTATCTGAAAAATAGATCACATGAAAGGTTAGGTTCTCCAAACTTGTCCTCAAATTTTGGACGATATGCAGACAAGTTTGGAGAACTTGTCTCCCAGACACTGGCGCCAGATGGCGGACAAGTTCTCCAAACTTGAAAAGTCTGAAAGAATGGACCAAAAATTGCATAAGGCAATTACCATTGTTCTTCAAAAAAAACAATTAATAAGGTTTTCCATGTAATCTCTCCCAGTATTAAGAGACTGAAATGGAGACATTTTGTAGATTAGTGGCTAGTCTATTCAAGCTGAATACAAATAAAATCCACTCCCATAAGCTAAAATTGAAAAAGCTATTCTTATTTGCAGTACTGTATTATCTTAACCCTTCAACAGCAGAGGATTCCTCCTGGTGGTCCTGTGGAAAATTTGTGATTTTGTTTATGGGGTGGGGGGGGGGATTCTAGTTTGACCAAAGGCCACTGAAATACCCCCACGTTTCTAAGTCCTAAGTTGGGGAAATCTGGGTAAAGAAAATATGACTTTTTCAAGAAATCCATAATGTTAATCCCATGCTGGGAATGCAAGAAAAAATGTCACCCAGTGATGATTGTTTTAATTTTTTTTTTGGACACAACATTTTCTGCAGGATTAAAAAAATAGGACTTTTTCCCAACTTTGGCCTTGGTCCAAAAATCACATTTTTTAACATTTTCAAATTGCATGGGGACAAAATTTGGCAAAAATATTCTAACTTTGCCTCACAACGGTAGTATCTTGGATGATAGAGAATTATTTTCTAATAATCAGAAATTGGAATTTTTTTAAGCAGGCTCATACATTTTGGTTTGACTGAAGGTCACCAAAACAGCACATATGGAAACTGCAGAGTGGCCTTAGTCTGCAAATCTTCATATCAGAATTATGAGAAAAAAATGGCAGTTTCTAAAAGATCTCAAAAATAAGTTGATCAAATTGCTGCAGATTGAAAAAAGCAATCTTTATATACAGTATTTCTTAGGAACAGTTATAAGCAATAAAAATATAAGCAAAAATATATCCAAGCTCAGGATATGTTTCCATCAATTCAATATTTTTTTCAAATTTCAAAATTTACTGTTGACAAATTTTCTGCAAAAATCCTGTCTGCACCACATAAGGCCAAGAAACAGAGCCCAATTTTATGAGCAGAAATTGTTCTATCCTTCCATTTTAAATTCAGAATTTCACCCTGAAGGACGCCACCAAAATGAAAAATAAATAAAAAGAAACATTTGACCTTAATACCTTAATTCAAAGCGAATCCCATTTCATCACTTCGATGGTGTCCAACTAACGCAGCAGAGTTATTCTCAAAACTTCCGTTGCTTACATAGCATTGAACTCTTTGACATCGATCAATTACACTCAAAATAATCATTTTCTCAGCTTTAATGAATGAGATGATTTGCTACATAGACTGACAGCGGACTCAACAACCAGAGCCAGTGTTTAAAAATTTAGTAGATTAAAAAATTAATCTAAAAAACCACGTTTTGATTGTCATCAGTTTCTAAGCTATCCTGGAAGTTTCAGCTTGCTAGCTAGTCAGGAAGTGAGCGAAATTTGAGTTGCAAAATTTGATCCGGACAAGCAAATGGACAAGAAAGCCAGTTAATAAAAACGTGTTAAAATCACACACTTGCAGTGGAAAACGCATCAACTGAATTTCCAGTCAGTCATTGCAACACACACCTGTCGTCGTGGTAGTAGTGGTGGTGGTTGATTGCTGCTTGCCACCATAATAATCGTAGTCGTAATAGTCCCGGTCGTAATAATCGTAGTCGTAGTAAGCTGGACGCTGCGGACGCCGCCTGCGGAACGGGCGCCGCCGCCGTCCTCTGCCGCCCAAAGGACGCCTTCTACCGCCACCACCACCACCGCCGCCTCCATCCAGGGCGTGTTGTTGCCGCTGTGGCGGCGGCGGCAATGGCGCCTGCGTCGTCGTCGTCGTCGTGGTTGTTGTGGACGATGACGCCGGTTTGTACAGCTCATCGTTTCTGGATGAATTTAAAAAATTTCATATACAATTTTTTGAAGAAAAAAAAAACGGCAGCGAGAATGGAATCTTTATTTTTGTCCAGTTAATCACGGAAAAATTGACTTTCTTTTTTATTTCCGTTGGGAATTAATTTTCCCAATTTTAAGAAAATTTATTTTTAGTTGAAGTTATTTCATTCTTTTTTATGTTTGCTTTTTTGGTTAAACGTCCTATATTTTTTGTTCAATCGTCAGAAGGCGCCTTTCATCTAAACTAGAGAATATCACGTCAAGGTTAGCGTATATTCAGTCGTATTTTTTAAAACATTTAATGAATTTGTATTAGGCTTTGTGAGATTCAAGTACAATATTACAATGTATTAGACACTTGGGCTAAAATCTAGGTATTATGATTTTTGGCATAAAATTGTTTCTACAGGTTCGTATTTCTTCCCAGACATTTGAACGGGGAAACTGAGTACTATATATTCAACATATTGCTGGATTAAAAATTAATCTTCAATGATCATTCACCGGCTTTGAAAAAATGTGCATGATTATTTTCGGAAATTATTTTTTTTCGTGGCACCCAAAAAAAATTATACAGTTGATCAATTTGACCGAATTCTATAAATATTTTGATGTGAGATTTTCAGGTTGGGATATTTTCGTCGCAGATACAAAGATTGCCTCAAGGCCTATATATTGCGTTTTTCATGTCGAATGAGAAAATTGAGCAATAAAAACTCTGTCACTCTGTGGTAAATTTTATCGAAATTCTCAACTCAGGCTGAGGTTTTTCTGTGAGTCAAACGAAAATCTAAGCATATCGAAAAATTAAAGAAATGCACTCAGAGGAAAAGTGAGTTTCTGGTGCCAGAAGTTGAACACAGATTTTCACTGACAATATTTTTGTTGTAGAAATAAAGGTAAACCTCAGAAGGATGGAATGGCATTAAAATGAATAATATTTATTACATTTCAAACAGTCTCAGTAAAAGATCTTGGGTCTATAGTTACAGTAATTGATCAAATCTGCAGGAGCAAAACGTCATATAAATGCTGAAATTAGGAGCTGAACACGCAATTTAATTCAAAATTCCAACGACGCAAGAACCAATTTTTTTATTTCAGAAATCCAAGCATTAAACCCACGAAATATGAAAGCATAAAATAACTGACCTGCTAAAGTACAGTTCAGACCTCTCGCAATCAACTTCTGAAACGAAGTGGCAAATAAAAGTCCGCTGGTCAAAAGCTGTGTAATTTGCACACAGGAAGTCATAACGGACTCCAAACAGGCAATGATGATACACCTGCATTTGAAAGAAGAAGAAAAAAAACACAATTCAAATTGTAACATCACTTCTAAAAGTCTCAGGGCATAAAACCGACCAACGCTGCTTCTATGAATGACCCCGAGATTGCAGCGGTACGACGGAAAAAGGTCATTAAGTCGGCCAAATCAACATCAAAGTCGTCATTAAACATTCATGACCCATGCAGACAAACTCACAAAATGTATTGTGTTGCATCACGGTCGGAAAAATCGATGATAGTTGCGTAAGATTAAAAAATACAATATTTTTCGTGTATTCTATTATTCTCGTCAAAGGCCTTATTCCCGTGAGTTTTCTTTGCGCAGTATTTCTTTCAAATCGATTTTTTTTCGTCAAATCCCGCAAAAAGAGCGGAAATAGTGAGGCCCCAAGATGCGGACATTCTTGGTGCTTGGACCTTGACCATATGGGAAAGTGACTGTATATACTGTATTTACTCAAGTACCATGTGCCCTCAAGTAAGGCAGGCAGAGGGGTTTTTTAGTTGGGAATTTTGCTAAAATCTTATCCCTGAGTAAGATGAGCACCCCAATCTTTAGTGAATCTGAAACCAAAAAATTTTGAAAATACTGTAAAAACAAAAAAAAATTGACTTTGGGCATGAATTGAACAAAAATCTCATCAATTTTCAACTTTTTCAGTACAAAAATTTTTTCTTGTTACATTTGCTCCAAATTTCTCCATTATAATCAAGTATAATGCACACATAACTTCCTAAAACTTATTGAAAATTTTGTACCGGCTTATGACACGCACCCCTTTTTCTTTCTCCTGAAATTTGGAAAAAAAGGTGCGCATGGTACTCAAGTAAATATGGTATGTCAGGTCACATTTTCCCATACCCAGCAAAGAATGTGGGCATTGGGCTGGCAAACGTTCTGACAATGGCATTGGCAATGCCATTCTCCCAACATTGGCTAGTTTTAAGCATCCTGAAGCCAAATATTGTCCATGCCTCAGGGAGGGGTCCCACAGTATTTATTCAATTCTAAAATAATTAAGATTTTTTTAAAGTCGCATTCTTCTTTGCTAGACTGGAGTTGGTGCCCAAAGAGCGCGTTTCGAAAATGTGCGACTTTATAAGCCTTGCTTTTTATTTTTCAAACAGTAATAAACATAATACTGAAATGAAAAGTAATAAATCACTCACATAAGCCAGTCTAATCGTCAAAATTCGGGGATATAATCGCTCGTTAGTTTCCACCACAGTGCCTCGTTTTATAGCAAACGTGCAGCGGAGATTTACGGGGTCTTACGAAATATGGAACGATGACGTAAACGGCTGACCTTTGAGGACCTTCTCAAGTCCAATCATGACAGCTTATAGCCGCGAATTAAACTAATGACGACAACGCAGGTCAGGTCTTGGCCTTTTTTTTTTTTCGTCCAATAAGATTTGATTCGTAAGCTCCTTACAGACTTTGATGAAGATTTTCTTTTTGCCAGCGATGGACATGAGTTAATTTTGCAAATCCGTATTTGATAACCGTATATTTGTGGCAAGTACAGTACAGTATTCTGATTGTTATGTTCACCCAGAAGTTGAACTAGCAGTTGGAAGATAAAGAGGTGAATTAAGGTGAGCACACCCACATTGTGAGGAAATTAGTTCAACAAGAAACATATTTGTGTTCAGGTGGTACCTTGCAATTCAACCTCCCATGATTCAACCAACCCATGATTTGATGGTTGAATTTTCTGGTAGGTCAACTTGCAATTTGACATAGGGCCTGCTGCAATTTGACCCACACAGAGATGGGCAAGAACATCAAATAAGCTGTAGAAAACATTGCATTTGATGTTGCTTTGCAATATATGACTGCTTTGCAATTTGACTGCTTTGCAATTTGACTGCTTTGCAATTTGACTGCTTTGCAATTTGACTGCTTTGCAATTTGACTGCTTTGCAATTTGACTGCTTTGCAATTTGACTGCTTTGCAATTCAACCCTAGGGCAGCAAGGGTCAAATTGCAGAGAACCATCTGAATTTCTTAACCCTAATACATCCAAGATGTTCCCTTTTTGGTTAAAAAAAAAGGAACCATTGAGGTGATGATTTGATTTTAAAATAAAATGTATAGACAAATTACCGTTTCACTCGGACTAAATTTATTTACGCCGCGCGCTGATTTTGAAAATTCTGCAGAAAGTGGCGTAAAAATCATTTCATTTTTTTGTACACTGGCAAATGTTTCAAACCACCCCCTCAAAACTCCGTTCATTCCTAAGGTTTTTATCTTGCAGCCAAGGATTCGACCTCAATCCCAGCTGTCATATTCATATCAGTCTTGAAGACCAGACGGTGGTCGAAAAGGACATCTCACGACGATTATGCCCAAGGTTTTCTTTTATACTGTGATTTTTCCGCAAGTAAAAGATCTCGTAAATCGTTGGCTGAGAAAAGCAGGCATTTCCGCTGGCGAGAGCTATACTTTAAAATAGAACAGAAAGATATAAATTGAAACGAATGTGAATAGCGAAACTAATGGTGCAATGAATACTATGACCTTTATTAAGACAATGTGTATGAATAAAATTCAAGAAACGGACTCAAGAACATAAACAGCATTTGATTTTCCAAGCACACAATGTTTCTACTGAGTGACGATGAATATTACTTTTTTCTATTACAGTTTTCCACTGAGAAAGCAAATCGTAATTGCAATCCTATCTTTCATGATGAGAAATTTAAGCAACTAAAGCAGTCCAAAGCTTCAACTAAAAACAAGTGAAAAAAATCGGGGAGGATTTTTCCCCGTATATGTATTATTCTAGATTTTTAGTAATCTTCCAGAAAAGGGTCGAAATTACAGCAGAAATTTCTTCAGATGTAATAATAACATCCAAATTAAATGAAGCTTGAAAAATTTAACAAAATCACGGTGAATTAACCATATACTCTCGCACGTGTCACAGTTCCGTTTAATCACGCATTATGATATGTGAATGCCTGAAAAAAATTTTGAAAATTGTTTCTTGCAATGATGAATGTTATCGTGCAAAAGATATGTTTCCGTTCGGGTTCGAACCGGAGACCTTCCGCGTGTTAGGCGGATGTGATAACCAACTACACCACGGAAACCGCTGTGTACTGTCGCGGTGAATTCGGCAGTAGTGAACATTGAATCCGTGGTACTCATGAGGCATTTAATGTACAGTACTGTATCTCAACCACCATTAAAAGTTCACCCTGTTAATAATGATCTGAAGTACAGTACTGTATTGAAGAACACAGCAGTACCTATATGGGGAGCATCCACTCAACTGCCAGAGAATTTTGCATCCAAAAGCCTTGAATTACATGCGTGAATTGCGTCTATCAATAAACTTTTTTTTTCGAATTGGTTGTTGTAATCACTTACAATCGTGCGAAAAGATTTGCGTAACGTATGGAAGCTGGATGTGACAAACAATTTGGCTTTTTATGGTGAGTATGCGCGCGTTCAAAAATCGACTAATGAGCATACATGCTATGTTTTTTCTCCGTAGAATTTCAATTTCAAGTTCACAATCACTTTCCATGCTTTACTGTTCTCCAGTTGATCAAATCATCACAGAGAAAAATCGATAAATAATGCGAATTCAGTACTGGAAAAATCCGGAGCATACATTTTAAGATTAACAATTTTGGAAAAAGTACGAGAAATACTGAAACATACGATTTCATTGTTTCTTCATTTCACCAGAATGTAGAATCAAAGTCTAGGGATCCTTTCGTAGAAATAAAATGTATCCTTTTTTTATCTTCCTGACAAATATTTTATTTCTTCTCCATTTGAAAGTAAAATCTCAAGGCAAAACCAAATTCATGCATCAGCAGTGATGCAGATGCACAATTCAATTCAGACCCAAATAGGTCTAAAAAAAGAAGCTCAAAATCAGGCTCGCAATTAACTCTCATTTGATTATAGCTTCATTTTGATGAAAAGGAATACCGCCTAGATTAATAATAATTCAAGAACCCAGCTGACATTTCATTCATCACTTAGTAGAGTTTTAGGGAAAAATACAGGGTAAAATTGCTCATGACAATAAGTAACAGCCGTGCAAAGTTAAACTATTGTACCGCTTATGTTACGAGTATGTTTTTGCTGAAGGCTGTCAATGGCTCCCAGCAGAAAAGTGAACAGTTCATATTGGGAGAAAATTTGAATTAAGATTAACTCTGGCATAGATGGCAGCAGGTTCCTTTCTATCCGGAAGCAAATTTAGGATTTTTTTTCTCAACACAGGCACTTTTTGTTTCACCAAAGGTTTTTAAGAACCTAGGGTTGCACAGGCATGTCACCCTAAGTTAACCTTCAGTGGTGGATGAGCCTGGAACTATTTGCAAAATTTGGTGAAATGCACCATATACAAAAAGACTCTTGCTCAGTCAGAAGAGCCAAAGTCTGGAAAAATTATGATTTTTTAAAATCTTTCCACAGAAAAATTTTGCTGAAAAAAATGCCCTGATGGGTGGCAATTTTTCCTGCATTCCTGCTATAGGATTACTATTGCATGGGTTGAAATAACAGTAGCTTGAACTTTTCCAGATTTATCCTGACTTTGACTATATTTCCAGCCATGGCTGCCTTTCAGTGTCCTTCAGTCAAACTGAAATTTGCAAGCCTTCAAAAATATCCCAGCTCCACCACCCAACAGAAATCTACCTGCTGCCAACCAAGGATCAATCCAGGTATTGTAAACCCTATCATTTTCAGACATCTCCAATTTTATCCTATCCTAGCAATGCAGGAAAATGTTTTGCCCACATAACTAAGAAATTCTTTCTTTTCCGGCTGAAGGTTTCTGCTGGAAGAGAAGACAAAATTTTCTGACATTTTCCCAATTTTTGCAATGGTTCGAAAATTAGGGTATTTTTCTTTTCAGAGCTCATGGGTACACAATTTTACAAGAATATCCATACTTTTCCAAAGAAGGGTTAAAGATCCAAATGAAGGCTTTGTCATTCTCAGACCCTTGAGAAATCCAAGACTCTTGTCATTCTCAGATAGACATCAATAACTCAAGCCTCCCTGATTCAATAACTTAACAATCTAAAATTTGAAGTCTCTGTTTTAATTCTTTTAGGAACAATGTATAATACTGAAAACCTCCCAACTCAACCG